GTGTGGGGCAAAGGGGGGGTACATTTCTCACCTCAGGGTTTGGTCTATAGACCCCAAAGGAACCAGCCCTGATTTCAAGGTTTCGCTCAGCTCCGCTTACTTCCATTTCCTTCTGGAAGCTGGAATTGCACAATTATCCTAAGCCTCAAATCAATTAAAAAAAAAACACAAACAAACAAACAAAAAAAAAATGAACAAAGAACCGCGAGCACGCCCCCCCCCCCCCCACCCCCCCCGACTTGTTACGTCTCTTTGGCAGCAATAACTTAAAATCGCATCACTGTGGGTTCTGTCGACAGCAAGTTTTGTTTTTTAGGGTGGGTTCGGGTTGTGGGTTTTTTTTATCCTTTTCTTTAAATACAAAAATAGTTGGGTTGGCGGGTCCTGGGGGGCCACCCCACATGGGGGGCAGCCAGGATCCCCTCCGCCAGCCCTCCCCATGCCGCCCCCCGCCGCAGCGGGGCAGGGGTCCCGCCAGCCCTCGGGGTCCCTCACCGGGCCGGGACTGTTCCCCAAAAAGCAAGGGAGGAGGGGAGCTCCCCAGCCCCCCCCAGCCCCTCCCCCCTCCCCCCAAAGTTATGCTTCCCACCCTGAACGTGGGGGTCACGAGAGCCGGCAGCAGCCCCGGCTCGGGGAACGGGTGCACTTGGGGCGACATCAAGCAGCGGCAGCAGCCGGCGACCCCCTCGCTCAGGAACGCCGTGGGGCAGCCGTGGGGGGGCCGATCCGCCGTGTGGGGCCACCGGCAGTGAGGTGCAAGGCCAAGCGCACGGCACTGGGTGGGGGGGCGGGGTGGCACAGGGGGTGCGGGGACAAACACCGGCTCAGGGAGCACACATGGGCAAGAAGCCAAGGCGGGGGGACTTCACTGCGGGGGGGACACTCTGCAAATGTTAGCAAGGTCAGGGCACTACCCTTTAAATGCTATAATTTTTATATATATATATATGTCTATATATATATATGTGACTATTTGTACACGCACACACACAGCCACCCGCACACGCACGCACGGCCGTCACCCACCGCCTGGCCCCGGGCCGCGCCGGCCCCGCTCCCACTCGCAGCAGCAAACGAGCTCCTTCCGATAAAATCTGTCTAAAAAAAAAATCCAGAGCGCAGTCTGGGAGCCCACGGCCGGACCCCCGCTCCCGGCCCCGCCGTCCTCTGCCGCCCCGTGCCGGTACCGGGGCAATGCCCGACCAGCGTGCCCGGCTGGCTCACTCCCGGTCGCCGTCTTCGCTGCTGCCTGCAACAAGCAGAGAGGTGGCATGAGTGGGTCCCGGTGTTCCCGTGGGACACCCGGCCCTTCGGAGGACGTGACCGTCCCCACGGGGCACGAGGGCAGAGTGTCCCGCACGCTCCCGGCTCCCACCGCGGCTGGCACCGGGCGACAGCAGCTCTCCAGACCCCCGGGGGTGGCGGTGGGTCCTGGGACTCACCTCCTATGGAGTCCATGTCCGAGTCGGAGACGTGGGTGATGGAGAACCGGGATACCGGGGCAGGCGAGACGGTGAACCGGGAGAACTGGATAGGCAGCACCTGTTTCTGCGCCGGCACCAGGGCGGGCACGGCTGGGTCGGGCTCTGCCGGCGTCCCCGTCAGCGAGGCCATCAGGGATGGCTTCACGGGCATGAGCGGAAAGTCGTCGTCCCACTCGAAGCCACCGCCTGCGACACGGAGCGAGGGGACTGAGCCCACCATGGGGGTCACCCCAGCCCAGCGCGCCGCCTCCCCCGTATTACCCCCCCCCAGCCCCTTACTCTCTTCCGAGGCGTTGCCGTCCGAGGAGTCGTCCGAGGCACCGAGCCTGTCTGCCGGGCTGGGGGGGCTGCCACCGGCGGGGGGCTGCCCCGAAGGCTGGGGGGGCTCCGGGAAGCTCTGCTCAGCCAGCTCCCGCGTGGGGCTTTCCTGCGGAAGGGGAGACAGGCGGGAAGGGACCCTCGCTGGAGGCATGCCTGGGGACGGCTCCCGCCACCGGTCCCCATGCACGAAGACGGCATCTGGAAAACACCATGGGGCCGTGCCCAGCACCAGGCTCTGCCCACCCCGCGGTTACCCACCTGGTCGAAGAGGTAGATGGTAACGTCGTCGTAGAAGGAGACGGCCTTCTTCTTGCGCTCCAGATCCTCGCAGAAGGCCTCGGAGAGCAGGCTGGGCATCTTGAGGAGGCTGCGCAGGTTCCTGCCGCTCTGGCTCTCAGCCACCACGATGGGCACGGCCGCCGGCTCCTCCTCGCTCTCCTCGCTTTGCTCCTGGATGTTGTAGCAGCGCAGCTCCTCGTCCGACTCGTCGCTGTCCTCCGTGTCCTCCTCCTCCTCCTCCGGCTCTTCACGGTGCTCAGGGGTGACCGGCCGCAGCTCCCGGGTGGACGGGAGCGGGGAGAGTCCCGGGGGCGAGTCGTCCCCCGGTAGCAGCGTGCTGGGACCCCCCGGCGCATCGCCCGCCCCGGTCCCCTCCAGGGGCAGCCCTGCTTCCCCAAGCCCCAGCACGGGGGGCACAGTCTGTTCGCCCCCGGCCGCAGCTGCCCCAAGTCCAGGGACATCCTCCAGCATGCGGGTCCCTCCGATGGACGCCGACTCCCCGGGGCTCGCCGGCACCGGCGTCAAGAAGAAAGTCTTTGGCAGCGCAGAGCCCGGGGGACAGGCGTCTCCGTTGGGGCGCGGGGAGCTGCCCAGCACCAGCCCCGTGCCAGCGGGTCGCTGCTCGGTGCCAGGCACCTGCCCCGTGGGTCCGGCCGGGGCGCTCCCGTCCTCTGCCCCCCGCCAGTCCCCCACCAAAAGCCCCGCCATCTGTGCGTCCGCTGCCACTGCAACTCCGGGTGCTGCCGGGGGGCTGCCGGGCGCCCCTGGGGGGTGCAGCGGGTCCTCTGCTGGCCCGGGGGCTCGCCCTAGGTCCTGCGCAAGGGACTGGGAACCCTCCTCCGCCTCTGGGGTCCGGGAGCCGTCACTGTCCTCCTCGTCCTTGGGGCCACGCTCGGCCTCGGCATCGTAGTCGGAGAAGTAGGCAGAGTCGCGGTAGGGGTTCTTCTCGGCGAGGCCATGCAGCTCGGACCCGAGGGAGGTGGAGAGCTGCGTTTCGGGGGCCGAACCCTCGCCCTCACCCCCTGGCAGCCCCGGGGGCGGCTTCCCCAGCTGGCTGAAGGCCTCCGGTTCTCGGGGCTCGTGGGGTTCCTTGAGGACAAACTCGGGGGACTCGTTATTCTCGGTGTCGTAGCCACTGTCGAGGGCCTTGGGCTGGCCGGCGGGCATGAAGGCGGTGGGACTGAAGACCTCGCAGGAGCTGGCTGTGGAGGGGATGTCCAGCGACTCCAGGGAGTCCGGCGTCCCCACCTGCTTCTGCAGGGACTTGAACGCCGGAGCTGCCTCCGCCCGCTCCATGTAGTCCCCGGAGAAGTCGGTGAAGACGCCGGAGGTCAGCTCCGCCGTGTCCTCGTCGCTCCCCTCGTCTGCGCTGGGGAAGCTGGCGCTGGAGAAGGTCTTGTCCGGCGTCTGGTCCGCATCGCCGGTGGCACACACGCCGCTCTCGGCGGCAGCTTCCCCGGGCGCTGGCGCAGGCGCCTCGGAGGCCTCCGGCA